CTAGGTTTGTAGTAATTGCTGCCAGAGAGCTTATCTCTTTGTTTATTTTGGGCTTGCAGCCAACGAGAACTTGGACTGATTAAAACATTCTTTTGTACGTCTGTTTTGGCTTTCGTTCCTGACAGAGCAGGAGGGGTGGGGGGTCAGAACAGGTTTCTATATACTATTTTCCGTAAAATAGAATATAGGATTCTATTGGGTGAGTATTTTATTTCACAATAACATTGTGAAATTTTATTTTCACAATAAAATCTGCTAGTGGCAGAATACAAATAAAATAAAATAAACAAGATTTGCCATTAACAGAAGCTATTGATTCTTATATAAATCGCCAACTTAGCCTGACAGAGGTTTTCTGTACCAAAACAAACTCTAATATGAAAAAAGTTAACAGCGTATATCTTTAGCAGCAGTTATCTTGTCAAAAGGAAAATTAAAACAAATTTGGTCACATTAATTTTTAATCTTCGCTACAAAAATGAAATGAGGGAGATGTTTTTAATGGGATAACTTTTTTGTACAATGCTTGGCAAGCTCGTTTAGAGATTCAACTGTGATAATTTTTGCATAAAATAACTTTTTGATTGATACGTACATTTGAAACTATGATACTCAGGATGTGTGATTTCATCCTGGATTTTAAAAAACTGATGTATAATTTGGTTTGCTTATTGTTTGTGAATCAGCCATTATAGCATAGCATAATTTTAAACTGATAATTAGTTTATTTAATAAACTAAAACTTGTTTAATAAATTAAAATTTATTAGAAATCATTAAGCAAAAGAAAAAACATTGAGCTTACCAAATATTCTTCTGTTCCATAGAGAGAGACAAACTGTTCATCATCATCCAACTCTCTAGCAGCCCCAAAATCTGTCAGTTTATAAACTGATTGACCATCTTCACCTATAACACGCATTATATTGCCTGGCTTGATGTCACGATGTACTATTCCATTTTCTCGAAGATGGTTCATACCAGCCACTTAAATATAAACAATAATTTTTTAAAAAATGTGTATAGATTGCAAAATTATGTAGATAAGAAACATGGTACTATATTAGGATACCTGCATCTCATTATCAATTATTTTATTTCAACATGAATTAGTAAATGCCAAGAAGGAATGAATTATAGATAAAAACTTTGGTTTTGCAAGAGATTATAGCAGGCAAATTTGGGTTGTAAGACTTCTGTATATGATAAATATACAGTACACACATTTTAATAATAAAATGGAAAATAAAGAAAGCATATAAAAATCAAGTTTTATAGACATCTAAACAACTTCAGCAGGCTTTCAAAGCACAGAATTTCAAATTAGATATTTTCAGAGTGGTCTTGCTCTCTTTTATCATATCCTGAAAGTATATTTTTGGGGGGAGGAAGGTACCTTTGAGTATTGGCTCTTGGTGACTGCCTGTACAAATCCCTGCAGTTTTCTTGGTGAATTTTTATGGAAGTGGTTTGTCACTGCCTGCTTCTCGGGTTGAGAGAAGGTCATCCAAGTGGCTTTGGGCCAAAGGCAGGAGTAGAACTTATGGTCTCCTGATTTCTATCCCAGAACATTAATCACTAAACAAACCGGCTTTCAAATATACTTCTAATGCTATATAAACAGCAAATCCTTCCAATTAATTTTATGGAGCAGTAATGTCTCTGCTGAGCTGATTAAGCTTTCAAGATCAGCAGTCTGATTTGGGCCCAGAATAATAACATAAAATTCCAACAGCAGCAAAATTCCTTTTTTGAAATATAGTTTCCAAATAGCATTCATTCTATCTAAATAGATATAGTCTGGATATAACTGAGATATGTGTCACCCTGTCTGCATCTGTTTTGCCAAAGGAGGTATACAACTGGTGCAACAAAGTTAACTGAGTCAGAATGTACCTAGTCATTGTGGGAAACATGTTCTTTGTAGTTTTACATATTAGAGATAAATTCCTGTTACACAGCTTGGAATATGTGTGCCTACTGCAGTTAAAAGAAACTATACCCAAATTGTTATTTTACAAATCAAATACATTCTAATTAAGTTAAGTAGCTGAATATTGAATGCCAAAAAAAAATCACACAGTAAACTATACAGTGTTTTTAAACTTTAGGTCTTTAGAGGTGTTATTGACCATAAATCCTAAAATGAAAATAATAATCAAAGAATACTTGGGGATAAAAATTGGAATAAGTGCAATAAAGATATATCTAATGATATAACTATCACATACCAACATCTCTCAAAACAATTAAAAATTCTGTTTCTGGCAATCCATAAGCATTAGACGGCTCTTCCAAAACTGTGTATAAACTGCCACATGGACAAAATTCCATAACAAGGACTTTATGTCTAGATGTTGTCTAGGGAAAAAAAGGTTTAATTTATATTAAAGACTTTACAAAATATAATATATATACTTTAATTACAAATTGAAATGTAATTAATTTGATCATGCAATTCTGCACAAACATCAGAAAAAGCTGCATATTCTGGATTTGGAGTTAAACACTACAAAACTAATTTCCTCTTAGGATTTCTGGCTCCTTTTGTTCTTTTGAAGTTGAGAAGCTTTCATTTTTATTTCATCTTAATTATACCCTATCATGTTGTTTGAATCCAAACAAATTATTATTGTTCTTAAGTAAGGTTAATGGAAGCAGGTCAATGTAAAAACTTTATTTCCTTTCTTTAAGCAAAATTAAGATCAGTTTAGGGACTGTGAAAGATACATTAATCTATAGACAATGTAAAGTATGTGTCAGGCCTGCATTTATATTCCTTTTAGAATTTTGGCCTGCCACACTTTCTCTTATTTCATTATGATGTTTCTTTAAGT